TTTTTTAAATAAGAAATAAATAAAATGTTAAAATATCCATTATATCAAATAGATTTTTCTGATTCTTCAAACTCCTAACGTAAGTATAAGTAGATATAAGAGATAAGATATCTTTGATAAAGATACAGCTGTATAACAGTCTGAAAACTTATTCGCACGACGATATCATAAAGCTCGTGTTGTCTTTTACGAAAGTATCTGGTAGTAATATCTTAAGACAAGATGCAGGTAAGATGCAGAATGCTGATGACGTAGCCTGAAATTTTTATCATGCCTTTTTTCTATTAAATATAAGCGTAATTATTATAATCAAACACTTTTTACAGATGTCATTTCATGGCGGCGTCGCGGAAACTATTCTGTTTGAAGAATGGCGCATAAATAACGCTCAAGGAATGATTGGTTCCGTAATCGGTGTTATTCTTCTAACTGCATTATATGAAGGACTAAAATCTTATCGGTGAGTAAATATTTATTAAAACATGAAAAAGATGCAAGTTATCAATCGAGTCATAATCGTTTCAGTGAATATCTCTTTGCGCATACGACGTTTCTCAGAAAGAATCAGAAGAAATCGAGAAAGTATGTGTGAACACTAATTATGATTTCCGTAAAGTGTTCACAATACTTTATTACGTTGTTTATTATTACAGTGCATTGTTGTTTTCCGGAGTGCATTTCTTTCAAACGTTTCTGCATGTAATCCAAATAGTGCTTGGCTATTTCCTTATGTTTATTTTTATGACATACAACTATTGGCTGTGCATCGCTGTCGGAACTGGAACAGCTCTTGGATATTGGTTGTTCCAATGGGACAAAGCTAATAATGACAATACAGATTGTTGTTCGTAAATACATTTTTTAAACATTAAAGTTGATAATTTTTCAATCATATGCTAATAATTAATTATTTTATTCTAAATAACTATTTATTCTATTAAAATAATCAGTTAATAATATATATATATATAATATTCTACTATAATTGTGCACAGGTTATATTAAAAAAAAAGTTTACTAAATTTTAACAAATTCAATTTCTTTGAACAGTTTTAACGGAATATTTACTAAATGTAAACATATATTTATTAGATACAAAAATCATTAGTTTGATCCAACTATTATTTTTTCATATCTCTAAATATTTATTTACTGTAAATATTTCACTAAAACTAATCAAAGAAATATTTATTCAAATTTAATAAATTTTTTTCTCAGCAAATTTTGTTAAAAATGAATTATTTATATCCAGATACAAACACACACATAAGTCCCGGATTAATTTCTTTATTTATTATTAATTCTTGGTACTTCAATCATTCCTTTTTATATTCTCAGATAATTGACGGTTGTCTAGAAGCAGTATCTAATCTAATCTAATTTATTAAAGGCATTCATGATTGATTTTGATAATGATAGTACGTATTTATCAGACAAGCAGACGTAAATCAATCGCTGAATACTTGTCGAATATTTTGTCACTCGTCGAATAATTTAAGAGTGTTTGACATCATGGCGGATAACCAGAGTAACGCAACAATTTGTTGCTCGAAATCCAATGGCAATCAATTTCTATCAATCCGTCAGATTATTTTCGGATGGAATAGATTCAATTCCATATCTTGGTTGCTGCTATTTGTATTCTTCTGCATTTGGTGCATAACATATTTTTCTGCTTATAAAATAGAATCGGAAGAAGACAATAATCATGATAATCATCATCATCACTGAAGTGAAAATGTATCATAGAAAAATAAAATAATTATTATTGAAAAATGGAAAAATGTAAGTATTTAAATTACGTTGTTATTATTTAATATAAAAATGTATTTGAAATAATTATAATAATATGAATGTATCATAGAATTGATTTTTTCAAATTTCAATTTAAGTTCTAAAATCATTTGTACACTTGTTATTTTTAATCAATTTGTTATAATCTTACACAATAAAAATAATCAATGATACGGCTTTCCAATATAATATACCTTATTTAAGAAGGTAATTAATTAATTAATTAAATAATTAATTATCTTTTAATCTGTTTAGATAACTCAACTAAAGTATCAAGGCGGAATTATTGGACATTTACAAATTTAATAAGATTTAATAAATATTTAAAGTTAACAATTTATTAATATTTATATCCTAAATGACAGAAATATTTTTAAAAATAATTCTTACAAAAAAATCTTTATAATAAATATGTGAGATTATTCTGTATATTTACAGTTAAAAGATACAAATAAAATTTTTATTGTTTCTCAATATGTCTATAAATATTTTTTAAATATATTGTATTCTTTAACATCAAAACAAACTTCTTCAAAGTTTCGAAATATATTGATATGGCACAGAATAATAACTTATAATATAATTTTTACATTTAAAATTAAGAAAATAGCCTTACTCATTTTTAAGAAAAGAACGTTAACGTGTTAATTCTCCTAATGAGATTCTATAATCTAATCCTTTTTTTTAAACATTAAAAACATTTACTATAACAATAAAGAATGCTTTGGCAAAATTACATTATTCACAGAAGAAATTGCAAATAACATGACAAATAAATATGACCTATTTAATGTATTATTAATGATAGTCGTTCCAACAAAAATAAAATATGATATCACACAAGAAATTTTAATGTTAAAAATTTTAAAGAAAATTTCAAAAAGAATTTAAATAATCTTTAATTAGATTGTCTTTCAATTATATTACATTAAATTTTTTTAATTGTCAACAGGAAGAAATAATATTTGAAAAAAGTAATAGCTGAAAAGTGAACAAATATTAATTAGACTTTACTAGCAATTTTTTATCTTTTTTAAATCATTATTTGAAAAGAGCCTGCACTTCTCGTACGTTTAGAGTATCCTTTTTATTTTCTGAAATTACATTTGGTAATTGCAAGTCCCAAGAGAAATGCCCAACTCATTTGAAGCGTGCACGATCACATCAAAAATAGATGATAATGTGCTTGAAACAAGAAAAAATATGATATCGAGATGAAACAATGGACTCCAAATTTTTTTCAATATATAAAAATATTTTAATCATGTTTAATTTAAGTAAATAACAAGAAATAATAATGTTTTGATATTTCTTGCGAGATGATATTTAAAATATAAAATTATTACATTATTTAAAGAGAAAGATATGCTAAAAAAAATATAAGAAAATTTTATTATTATCCAGAAAAATCCCAATTTTTAAATATATTAGTTGTATTTTTATATTAATTATTAATTATTAATTTCATATATATCATATTAGTTTTTTAATATATATT